AAAAAAAAAAAAACCACGGCGGGGTTCCTCCCTGCCCATACCTCAAATTTGTCTTCAGACAACCACCGATACCCATAAATCATTTTTATCGGTTGCGGTGGGGGCAACTGTGATATCAAATTTTTGAACGACTCGAAAAGCCGGTTTTTCCCGGCCTGCGGCGGTGCGGCCGCCTTAAGGTGGCGGTGGGCCGCTATCGCCGGCGGCCGTGCCGCGCGACAGCGGCTGCAGTCCGCCTGTGAATATTCAAATTTTTTGAAGGCTCAAAAGCCTGTTTTTTCCGACTCGAACAGTCCCGGCCCGGACTGGAGGCCTTTCGGAAATTCATCCGGAAATGCCAAATGGTACTTGAATAACGTCCGGCAAAAATTTACGAGGATCTCGGAACTGCCTCGGAATATTTTGGAGGTCCGGAACCCCGGAAAAGCCCCCGGAATAAACCTGCCTGCCCGTGGCTCTCAGCAACCGGAGCCAGCCACCGAGCCGGTCGGCCCATCCCATCGGCTCAGCCGCCGGGAAGGCCCGCCGACCCGGCGGCCCAGCCCCCCGAAAGACCCGGCGCTTGGCTGCGGGAGGCCGCCGTACAAACCGGCGGCCCGACCGCTGAGTACCCGGCGGCCCGGCCGCCGGAGGGCCGCCGGGCGGGCCGCTGAGACCCGGCGGCCGGCCGCCCGAGACTTGCGGCCGGTCCGCCGGGCGGGCCGCCGAGTCCGGCGGTCCAGCGGCGACCCCAGCCACCGAAACAGTCCCGTTTGCGCCTATAAAATACAGGCCTCGGCCTCTTTTTTCCTCACTCAGTCTGTGTTGACGGACGCTCTTCTCCCTCTCGCTCCTTGCGAATTCCTTTACTGCTTTTTTGCATTTTATATTTAGTCTTTTATTGCTTTTCTTTCTTTGTTAAGTGGTCCATTAAAAAAATTAATTAATTTCCCTAACAGGAGCTAACCTGGAGTTTAGAAGTGGCCGTCGATCTAAATCAGGTACACCAAAAACTAAACTTCTGTCTTTTTTTTAATTCTATGCCTTTCATGCATGCTTCTTTCTACTCCTCTTAATTTCTATTACTCATAATGCTTTCATACCATTAACTAGGCAAATAAATGCCTCAATTAATAAAATTAGCTTAGGATTGCACGGTTTAATCGATAATCGTGGTATTTAAAGCTAAAATTCGACAATACTGGCTAAAAGCCTAGTTTAAATTCAATAACTATTGGTGAAATTGCCTTTATTTCGAACAGTTTTTTTGGCTTAAGTCTAATTAATCAATAATTGTGACTAAAAGGGCGCCTAATTAAAACTTTTTTTTATTATGGATAAATTGCCTATATTTCAATAAAATTGCCCATAATTTTGCAAACAAATTGCTAAATCAAACTTTTTTTGGCTAAAAGCCTCAAATCATCAATTTTGGCAATAAAAATTCGCCTTAATCATTTTTGGGCGACAATTCGCCCAACAAAACACCTTTGGCACAAATGCCTTAATCATTTTGGCGACAAAATCGCCTAACCAATCTTTTTTGGGCTAAAAGCCTTAAAATCAATCAATTTTGGCGACAAGCGCCTAAAATCAATCATTTTGGCAATCAAAATTGCCTAAATAATCTTTTTGGCTAAAAGCCTTAAATCAGTCAATTTTGGCAATAAATTGCCCATCAACATTTTGGCCACAAATGCCTAAAACAATCAATTCTTGGGCAGAATGCCTAAACAAAAATGCACAAAGCATACACACACTCATTGCATTAAGCATACCATTCAAAGCCCTTCAAGAAGGCCTATCGAACTACGTGAACTTTGATCTTCCATTCAAACCGGAAGTAGTAGGCACGTTCGGATTTCACCCCGGGTGGCAAGTGAATCACTAATACTTTCATTTGGGTCCCAATTACATCATTCAGCTTGCAAAGCATTCATTCATCGTTAGTTTATCAGCATGACAGTAGTCTCGGGATCCCCTTCGGGTTCGCAGACTGTGCCTTAAACATTGGGATAATATCTAGCAACTAGGTTATTAAATTGGCCAGTCACTTAGGCGTTTTTCCTAGTTTTACCCTAAAAATAATTAACAAGGTGGGCGACTCACACACATCACGTGGTATTTCTTCTCATTCATCATATGCATCACTTGCCTATGATAGTTTGGGAAGAGGGGTTCCAGGTAGGCAGTGTAGGTGTGCCCTTTACCTTTAGTAGTAGCTAGCCTTCTTTCATTGACATCTTCATCCTTTCCAAAGACTCAAATGAGGGCACTGATTGGTGCAATCACAACCTTACTTTATTTAATGGCCTCATCCAAGCTCCTTATTAATGCTCTTCAAATGAGTTCTTTTTTCCAGTTTTGCCTAGGCATAGCCTCTCTACTCCTTTGGTGCTGTCCAGAAGTTCAAGATTCCTTCCTCAGCCTTAACCCTCAATTTCTTTTTTTTCTTCACACTCACTCTAACTTTTTGTATCAAGCATCACTAGCTTCTTTAAACTTCTAGTCCTTCCTTTTTTCAGTCTTTTTCTTCAGAATCTTTTCTCGTTCACTCTTATTCAGCTTTTCCTTTTTCTTCTTCTAATTCCTTTTCTGATTCTGTCTCAACCTTAGCTACTGTCTCCTTTTCTTCTTCTGTTTCTTCTTCTTCTCTTTTTTACTTTTCTTTTTTTTTCTCTTTCTCTCAGTTTCCTTCTTCTTTTTCTTCTTTCTAATTCTTTTTCTGATTCTGTCTCAAACCTCAGCTAGTGGTCTGCCTTTTCTTCCCTGTTTCTTCCTTCTTCTCTTTCTTCTTAATTTTTCTTTCTTTTCTTCTTCTCAGCTTCTTCTCTTTTTCTTCAGCAACTTTTTTTCTTTTTCTCGTTCTTTTTCTATTCTTTCTTTTTCTTCAGCAAACTTCTTTTTTTCTTTTTCTTCCTTCTCCCTTCTTCATCCTTTATTTTCAAAGATCCATTGTCCAACTTTGAAACCCTGTGACCTCACTGTTTATCTAAATCCACTTTCAAAAACTCAAACAAAGGGTAGCCCATACCATAGGGTAATTTCACTTTGGGGTGGAAAATATGTATGACATAGATTGAAGGGTTTTTTTTTCAATTATATGCCACATTATGCTACATCTCAAAATGAATTAAATATGTGATCGAAAAACTTTTGGATTAGGATAAAGTGCACAATTAACTTATATGGCCACTTCATGCTGTGCAGTCCACATTTGAACACTCATCCACACTCTGTTTTTGCAAAATCTTTTGTTCACAATTTTCTTTACAAACTCTTTTCCTTTTTATACCCATTTTACCCTAGAAATATCCTTAATTCTTTGTTACCTCTAGACCCTAGTTTTTGTATTTTAAAAAATTCACTCAAATGCAGGCATAAGGGATATCGCTTTGTTCACCTCAATTTTTCACAGAAAATGATTTCTTAAACCAACACGGTTTGAGAGAACCATAAAATTAGTTACCACATTCTCATAGCAGCCTATTCAACATGACAGAAACTCCATCCATCCCTGGAACTCAAAATTTTCCTTAAAGTTGAATTCCTTCTTTTCCACAAGAAATTCTAGTCAACTAACAATATAAGCGCATAAGAGGGTGGAGATAGAATAGTTTTACCTTTGCTGCAAGAATAGGACCCGTTCCTTTGATTTTTCTTCCCCTTTTGATTTTTTCACTTTACTTTTCGATTTGTCTTTCCTTTGAACTCGATTCCTCAAGGTTTCTTTGTCTGATTCTTTTCTGTTCGTACTTCTTAGATAAACCTCTTAAGAAGTTGAAGTTCTTGTTCTGTCAGAGAATTAAGAGGAGAAGAATAGAACTTGATCCGGCCCATGGTTAGGGTTTTAAAACAGAAGAAAGTTAAGGGTTTCCGAATGTAGGAAAGGAATAGAGAGGAGAAAAACAGTTTTTAATAGAGAATGAAAAATTGATAATTTAGAGAACGTTATAAGCTTTAGAAAAGAGAGAAACACTTAAAAGAGTTTCTTGCTCAGGGATCTCTTCAGAATTTTACATAGCTGGGCAATTGGAAGCAAGGGCTTTCAGCAAAAGGGAATGTTTATTTGAAGCTTTTTGGAAACAATCAAGAAACCTGAGGAAACTCTTATCATCTTGTGATTTCTTGATCCTTTGTGGAAAAGGGAACAGGGCGGAACATAAGGCTTCACTTCCTCTTTCTCTTTTAAGTCAATGATGGGGATCTTTTTCTGACTCTTTTCTTTTCTTCCTCCCTTCGTAGGTAGAATCCTCCAATTGTTTACCATTCCTCAAAGTGATAGCTTTGTACCTGTTCTTTGGTGATGTTTTCTCAGTGGTTACTAGGTAACGTACCTTAAGATCTAGAAGTCATCCCCACATGTTAGCGAAACTGCCCTCATTTGAATCTCCAAGAGTTCCTTATCGCAGCTTTTTGGATTTTATGATTTTCCGAGCTTCATTGAGTAATAATCCATGTAGCATTTAGAGAGAAGCAGTTAAGAAGATCATCGGGTGAGTCTTCTTCTCTTGAGAAGGAAACCTAGTGGTGCATTCAAGCATTATTTGAATTCCCATAAGAAAGATTAGGATATTCCTGAACCTGTTATCAGTAAGAGTTAGAATATGGGTAGTTCTTCCTTCCTTGATTTTCATCACATAGTTGACGTGCCTCCAAAGTTGCTGATTTAAAGAATCCAAACATGCACTCTGTCCCAATTTTCATGTTGCGCATTACAGCTTGTCACATGCTTGTACAAATAGAATAATAGAGTTAGTAGTCCAACAAATCCAACTTCCTTACCATATTGTCCACTTTTGGCATTGAGTGCGGTAATGGCATCCATCTCATAAACTCCTGCAGGCTCTTCTTTTAGAGCTATTTGATAAATTGATATACTTGCCATCTCTTCTATCAAATCATATCCTCATCAATTTCTTTCTTTTAAAGAAATCCACCGCAGTTTGCATTCTAAAAGTAATCTTTATGTTAGGAGACAATGCATTATAGGAAAGTTTGTACCTGTACCACTTGGGTTTAAGCTAGATGTGGGCACTTCCTCAATGTCCTTGAATCTCTCGCAAGCTTCATACAAACTTTCTTTGATCATCAGGTGGGAAAAGTCATTATCTCATTGCGAAGCGTTTTGTGGTCTTTGAAGATGGAAAGAATTTCAACCAAAAATTTTTTAGGCTAGTTTTCTCCCCATGTAGTAAAACTTCCAGTAGGGCATGATGTAACAAGACCGTGTTTTTATCCTTAAGTGAAAGGAAACAATTCAATTTTATGGCAATCCATCCGCAAAACTCCATTTTGCTTTTGATGTTATTGCAAATTTCCCAGGAAATTTGTGGATAATGGACATTAGGATCTTCATTGGGTAGACTTCATATTGAATTGAGGTGGAGAGCATTTGAATAAATGGCAAATTTGATCTTCAAATTGTTAGCTTTCCCACCTAGGCCTAGTGATACTTGGGAGGTGGCTCCATTAAGAGAATGAAGTTGTGTAATCTCGCAAAAGTGCGGACAGGAAGGTTAAAGGTCTTCTAAATTGTTTATTATTGGCCGTGTGGCATAATCTGTGCTCTCCTTAGTAAAGATCCGTCCCCTGTTTCTAAATCATCAGCCATATCTACTTGTTGCTCCTATTCGCTGTCTCGTACTCTCCTAGGCAGGTTGTTCTACAAAAAGTCCTTTTCAATTTCTGGATCAAGACTAAGGGCTTAGTTCTATCAGATCTTTGTAAAACACCTGAAATATAATCTTCTAGAATTGTAAAAAGTAAAATTAAAAAAATGTCTACATTAATAAATAGGTTAATTGGATTGGTACTAGTAACGCTAATCTCCAGCAACGCAGCAAAAACTTGACAGGCTTTTTTGCAAGTGTACGAAATCGCAACAAAGTATAAATAATGAGTATAGTTTTATCATTCCACGAGGATTTGAATAAACTTAAGTATAAAAATTGGTGTTAACCTATCTATTATTTAGACGAAAATATCGTTGAATTATTTTATAGAATCAAAATTATAAGAAACAAGGCGTAACTGAAAAATAAAAAGAGGAAAAAAAGAAAATCGAAGCAATGACAATTGTGATAAAAAGAAATCAGGATTAAAAGCTACTAGAGATTTTGATTTCACTTAATTCTATCCAATGTATTTTTATTAGTTTGATAAATTAATTTTAATTGTTCAAGGTAGGAGAAACAACTAAATCTCCCGATGTATTGTTAGCTATTTTAATTCGGTCTAATTACCTATCTTCCAATAGTACAATCAAACATGAATTAAATCATTAAGTTTTATGGTTTGTTTATAAGTTCATAACCTAAGGTCGTTAACTTATTAAAACTCCCCATGAGTCAAACCATAAAGCTTCCGTATCAAGTTATTATTCCCATGTAATTTATTAGCTTTTTCATATCAAAAACCCTTCTTCGGATAACGATTAATGAAATAAATCAATCTAGGGGAAAAACTCTGCCTGAAAGCATTAAATTCAATGATAAATTATACTTTGAATAAAAAAAAAAATCTAATATTATATATTGAAATAGAAATTGAGGTACATCAAATTCCTAGTATGAGAGTTTAGTTCGATATAGTAATTAAATAAAACTCGATTAAAATTGTAAATAATCCCATACAGAATAAACAAAAAGAGAGTTTAGAAATAAAAACTAGTCAACGATTGCTTGAGCGACTTCCTTGAATCTTGACACCAACTTGAATACTTGAAGTCTTAAGTCAACGATTGCTTGAGCGACTTCCTTGAATCTTGACACCAACTTGAATACTTGAAGTCTTAAAGAGAGAGAAAATATTCTAGAAAACAATAGAACAAGAGATCCTATACAATGAATAGCTCCTCTCTTTATATAGACTTCTTGGAGAAACTTTGACTTCATAGTATGGAGCATGGCTTGAAGAAAGGATTTTTTAGAAAGATCAGTTTACAAACAAATTAGTTCTAGGTCTACTTGCCCTTAAAACTTGTTAAAAGAATTAGAATGGTGAATAGGTTTGAGATTACTAAGAGAAGGGTTTTACAATGATAGTTGTTAAAGAAACTATTCATTAAAGGTAAAGATGCAAGAAGTAATATCGAAGTGAAGTAAGGATACCCCATGTCATTTCCTTTTGCTTAGTTTGTAACGTTTGCCCTTAAGCCACCTCTCTTCCATTAAAAGTATTACTGTGACCATACAATCACCTATATGCTTGTCTACAACTCTCTTTAAGAAAGATTCAATTTGAGGACAAATTGTCTTGGGGGAGATTGAAACTGATTTCTAATTTTATTTTCAAAACTTTCTAATTTTAATTAAATAAAAAATCTTGAAGTTTGATCTCATGGGCTCTAAGTGTCAAATCAATTTTTTTTTAGCCCGAATTTACATGGTTGGCCTCAAGTCCAAAACACGTTATCGGAATTTTCGAGTCAAAAACCGTCAAAAATTTTCAAAAATAAATATGGAGCTCTAAATATTAAATCTATTATATATATCTATATTTATATTAAATCTATTATATATATATATATATAGTATATTTATATAATATGTGTGTGTGTTGTGTGTGGTGTGTGTCTAATATTTAAATAATTATCTAAAATTAAATATCATTATTATTATTGTAATGTGTGTGTGTGTGTGTGTGTGTGTCTAATATTTAAATTAATTATCCTAAAATTAAATATCATTATTATTATTGAGTAAATTGAGGAAATATTCTACAATCTAATTAAATCAATTAAAATAAATCAAACCATCAAACCTAAAAACTTTCAATAATTGAATCAAACCTTTTGAATTAAACCAAACCAGTTATAAGCCAATCAATGAAATAAAAGAAAAGAAAAGACAAGAAAACTCGCCCTCTCTCTCTCCCGATCGCACGACAGAACTAGTCCCCCCCTGTCGTTCGACCAGTTGCATCGATTCCAGCCACGGTTCGACGCAATTTCGGTGACCACTACCTCCTCTAACGTCAGCGACTCCATTCTCAATTTTCTTATCGATGGTTGGAGGCTATCTCGCGATAATCGAAGCTTTTCTGCTCTAGTTCTTTCGATTTCCGGCAACGACACCATCTTCCGATCATCTGCACTTCGATGCAGGTATTGATCGATTTCCCTTTCCCTCCTATCTTGTTTTATGGTCTTCTTGTGGATCATTATGCTTGAGTTGGAAAACCCAAATTGTATCATTTCGACCGAAACTAACGAGCCAAACTGCGGTCAACTGAGAACGTGTCGATGAATCCAACACCAAAAACTCAATCTTCATGCCACAAACTTTAATTTAACTTTATTATTGTCGGATATTTCTGCCTAAATCGGGAGCCCTTATTTTGTCAGCGGTGAACAGACCTGTTAAGCTCTTTTCCGGCAAAATGGCTTAGTAAATATTAAGAACAAGACTGTATTTGATACCCTCTCGCAAAAAAGAAGCGAATTGATGTGATTTTCGAAGCATTTGGGGCAAGGTCGGTTTTCCAGCCACCGTATGTGGCGGTTCCGGCGGCGGCGCCGACGATGCTCCGGCTGGGTATTAGGGCACAGAATCCTCAGCTCCTCACATAGATTGCGATGCCAATCATCATTCGGTGAGCAATGGAACCTTTATTTGAAGTTAATTGCAATTTTATGATTTATCCCTTTTTAGGATTTGAACTTGGTTTTTGATTATTGAACTTTCATTATATAGCTAGCAAGTAGATCTTAAATTTAATTTGGCAATATAAATTCAGGTTTGAATCGGTAAAGAACTTGAGTAAGTTTTCATTGAGTGTTATTAATTAAGGAATATAAAGCTATCGCTTGATATAAACCCTAGATAATGATTTAGCAAAAGGCTTATGAATAATTTAGGTATTGTATAATTTGGAGATTTGGAAATTTCAAATGACTTATACATTAAAGTTTGTGATGATTAGTTGGAGGAAGGGATTGACATATAATTTGATCGGATTTTTGATTGAACATTTATCACGGACTAAACTAGCTATACTAATAATAAAAGCTAATTACCAATACCATAAATATTGCTATTATCATTAGAGAATCTATTTAGTAAGTAAAGTAATAGCATTAGAGAGTTATAAATCAGATGAATTAATAAACTAGTATAAAAGATTTGTTAGATAGTTCTTGGGAAATAAAATAGAAAATTAATAGAAAAAATAAAATATAAAATAGAAACCTAATGTTAAAATAATTAAATATGAACAAAATATTAATAATTAAGTATTATATTAAAATTACATTAAAATAATAATAATAATAATAATAAAAGAGAAGAAGATTAAATAAAATAAAAAATATATTAATAATTAATAATAAGAAAGATTTAAATAAGAAGATTAAATAAATAAAAAATAATTATTAATAATTAATAATAAATAATAATAATAATAATAATAAAAGAGAAGAAGATTAAATAAAATAAAAAATATATTAATAATTAATAATAAGAAAGATTTAAATAGATCACTTAGAACTAAGAGACTTATGCTAATAGCAAATGGGCTCCATTAATGATAAAATTTGTTTCTAATTCTTTCCTTAGATATGATTTTGAGTCCCGACGAACCGAATGTTGGATAGCAGAACGCTTGGAATATGGAGCATAGCTTCTAGCTAGATCATAAAGCTGTGAGTAGTGTTAAATAATTTGTATCATCCACCTGCATTTGCATCCATACATACATGCTAAATGCTAGACATTACTTAGTTAATTGTTATTTTGTGTTGCATTATTTGTTGCTATTAGAAATAGTGTGATTAGTTATGATGTGCTTCATGTATGCTTTGTTTGTATGAAATTGGAATAAAGTAGGTCACCATTGGGTTTGTGAGAACGGTGTATGATACTGTTGGCCATGTATAGAGAGATCGCCCTCGCAATGTGCATCTGATGAAATATAATATGGAAAACCACAGTGTGGCCTCCTGTTGGTATGGAAAAGAAAAGAGAGTAGAAAAAAATGAGAGGGTTAGTCAAGGGAGGTTGAGACTGGTCGGCAATTTATGGGGATCAGCTCCCTAGTGCACATGTGATGAGAGTACGGGCCATTTGTGAGGATGGCTCATGGAGGGTTTTGGTGATGCCACTGACTAATTTCCACGTGATGTGATTATATGAAGGTGTTGCTATTTGTGATTTCTGCTGTTATGTCATTATGTCATTTGTGTGATTGTCTGCATGATCATATAATTAGTCGGATGACTAGATTGATTTATTTACGCATTTGTGTGATTGTATGGGGTGAGAGGGTTACTAAACTACTCACTGAGTTTAAGCGCTCATCCTAGTCTTAATATTTTCTAGGTTACAAATATTCTAGTATCTTGTGATTCTTTGCCACCCAACATCTACAGGAAATGTTGAAAATAAAATCTTGATTAATTTTGTTTAGTGTATTGAAGTAAAATTTTAAATTCTTAGATTATTTCGCAATTACTATAGTCATGTATAATGAATTTAGAAATTAATGATGTATTACTTAGTGAAGTTCCTATTGTGTAATATACTGATATGGGCTTAGAGAACTTTGAAAATTGATTATTATTGAATATGATGATACAGGGCAAGCGAGCCCAAGACTTATGATATGTGAATATTGATGATATTGGGCCTTACCATTTCTATTGAACATGAAGTTGGTTTAGTATATTTTTGGGCTTACTACGGGCTTTGGTGGCTTTAAGCCTATCCAAGTCCTATTGTCGGTCCGGCCTAAGGAAATGGGTCATGACATGAAATCCCTGAAAGACAAACTGCCTATGGTAATAAATCTGCGGCATACCTGAAATATGGTAGATCATTTTCAAAGATGAAAAATAAAAGAAAATGATCAAATATTCAAGATGGTCAAGTTTTTAAAAAGTAAAATCTAAAAGATTCTAGACATGACTAATAAGTTTTTCGAAGAAATTCATATACTTGAAATGAATGAAAATTATGAGATCACTATAAATTATGTCATGGCAGGATAGATATGGAACCAATATAAAATAAATGTCGATGTTTTTTTTGTATATAACATAGCACTTGAAATTATGAAAAATTATGAGGATTGTGAGCATAGTCTAATGGAGAATATGAACATAGAATTGATTGATCAAAATAAACGACTTATATGGTAATTAATTTATTTGAAAAGTAAAGTTTTGAAGTTTTATTTTGGATATCAAGAGATATTATGCCAGTAGAATATTAATATGTATTTGTGAATAATTGAAATGAGATCATGAGATATAAAGTAAATTTACTGCATAAGTTTTTTGCAAGTAACTATTGCAAGTAACTAGCATTGCTTATGAGAATAAAATACTCTCATATGATGGATGCAATTATAATTTGATATTTGATTAGTTTGACAATTTATGAAAACTCGAAATGCGTCTAATTGATTAGTGACTGCCTATTTACATGGCTCTGATACCAGATGGCCCAGGTGGATCCTTTTTTTTTTTTTATTGAGCAAGCAGTTGATCTAAATAGTGTATAAGAACATTAAACAAAGCTAAACATTAAACAAAGCTAGGGTTCTTTTAGTTTCAGCACAATTACAATACTGATTATGAGTTTCTATATGTTCTTCAAATATATCATGACAAGTTTTTATTAGTTTCTGTTTGAAGAAATGAATTTGATTTCTATTTGTGAAATCAATCAAACATAAATTATTAATAGCAGAAATAATAAAGGACATCGAAATTTCTATATGTTCTTCAAATATATCATGACAAGTTTTTATTAGTTTCTGTTTGAAGAAATGAATTTGATTTCTATTTGTGAAATCAATCAAACATAAATTATTAATAGCAGAAATAATAAAGGACATCGAAATTAAATAACAAACATATACTTAAAACAAACTTACAGAATATTGAAGATTATTACAAGCAAGACTGAGCTGTCCTAACTGCTCGTTGATTTCACACACTTGATCTTGAAGCTTACTAATGGCTTCGTAGACAAACTCTAAGCTATCCAGTTTTGTAAGAGAAATATTACAAGAGAGAAGAGAGAAAAGCAAGCGATGATCCAAATGAAAACACCACAAGCCTATTTATATACACTAAATAAAGTGACCTGCTGACGTCATGGCATGCGTCAGTCACCGAGATGACAAGAAATCGTGCTCTATCTATTTCTTTAGCACAGGACGATAAGTTTGCTTTATCTTTTAGCATAAGAAGATAAAGGATATCGAATTTTATTGCCAGTTGGCTAGGAATTAGATATCATAAGTGTCTTCTGAACTGTCCGACAATTACACGTCATTCATGAATTCTTGTCACTGTCAGAAGAATCATATCTTCTGTACGCTCTTATGCCTTGATCTGTGAAGTATTCAGCCTTTCTTTTACCTTCTTACTTGGTGGGCTAGATCATCAAATCCAGAGTTTGAAATAATTTGTTTCTTTATCTCTTCTTTAGGGAAACATTATGAAAAATGTCCTTTTTAATAATTGCAGATAAATTAATGGTGAGGTTAACTTCAGAACATGATTTTCATAGGACTGTGTTTTTTAGCAAAAATCTAAAAGTCCTTTAGCAACATAGACGGAATGGTGGGTTAAAGAATTGCCATTTTTTTATGCCCACCATCGTAAAAGTATATTTCGGCCGAGCTAACCATGGGATCTCAACCTTTAGATTCTTCCCATTTTAATTGCTTCTTTACCAAAGCAATTTGATAATCCCATTTAATTAATCCATGAAATTTTTATAGGCGACTGTAAAAGTAAGTCTGGATTTTTAAAGCAGTTCGATTTCATGCTCGCAGAACTGTTCGATAAATTGTATCAATTTTTATCCGGCATGTACAATAGGGAATTAAGTCCTTCCAATTGTAATAACCATTCTCTGGAACCATCTCCCCAATTGTAAAACCATTCTTGGAACCACAGAGGAAAGTCCCATTCTTCTTTAGCCAAATTAAAGGCTATGAACCAGCTAAATTTTCTTTGGCGGTTATCATAACAAAGAGCACCACTCCATGCATCCATATAGTCAAAATAGTTAAAATACCTGGGATGACATTGGTGCAATTCTTTAATTTGAAAAAGGTCTGTGCCCCAGTCTTCTTGGGAGAATACGCGTTTAATTATGAATTTACTATATGCCCATTCTCCTTCTCCTCTTACCACAGGGGAGAAGATGACAGAACCAGTGGCTTCCAGAATCGCCTGATAAAAGAGATAATCTTTATGCAAATAGGGATGAGCAAAATGATTCTTCGTATAAAATTTTGCAACTTCATGAGGCGCCATATTACTATGTTCTTGAGTAATTGGCATTAGAAAAATATAATTTTTTGCATATAGGAATGGTTCAAGTAGCATTGAAACCAGCTACTTGATTAGGCCTAAATACTGCTGCAATTGTGTGTTTAAGAGATAGAGACATAATAAATTCCATGACTCATTATTGGGAGTAGTGGAATCATCACTATGCGATGGGCCTATATATTTTTCCTGTTATCCAAACTTTACTTTGTCTCTTAGTGGTCCTCATGTAATGAAAGCTTTATCTCTTGACATTCAAAGTTCCGGTTATGATATGTTACCAGGATCTGAAAATATCATTTTAATTTACCGCATACATTATAAGGCTATGAATACTGTCCTGCCTAATTTACGAGAAGATACTACTAAATTAATGATGCCTAAAGGAATGACAACATTATTCGTGACAAATTTGTCTAAAGGCAATTTAGTAGTACTTAAAGCCGTTCAATGGGATCAGGTCAAATTACCTGAAAACTGGCTGTTAGAAGACGTAATTCAACCCCAAAAATCTGAATCTTATGAAATAGATTCAGTAGAAGAATTACCAGAAGGATCAGTAACCTTACGATTCTCAAGAAATAGAACCGTGAAATTGGGCTCAAGAAGATCTTTTACCGGCCTTCCTAACGATTCTCAAGAAATTTTTATGAACCTTGAAATTGGGCTCTTTTCAAGAAGATCTGTTTTACCGGCCTTCCTAACCCAACAGGAATACGATTCTCAAGAAATAGAACCGTGAAATTGGGCTCAAGAAGATCTTTTACCGGCCTTCCTAGCCCAACAGAATCCTACCCAATACCACCTCGAACATCTACCTCTTCAGTTGAACCACTTCGTAGGTCCAATTCCATAAATGGGCTCAATAGAACTGACGAAAATATAGTTCAGCCCACATATGAAATCAAAAGCCCAACACCGTCAGATATGGGCTATGATAAAGAAAGTGTTAAATCTCACCCCTTTAAAATTATGGTTCTCGATCAAGACATATCTCCTTTTGATAAGTGGTTCCATATTTATTTAAGTGACACATAACAAGCCTATTGGCTCAAGAAATATAAAATATATCAAACTGTAAACGGTACTAAAGACTTTAGTACTTTTCTTCAACATATGTTTAAACTCCAACGCAAACCTTTCCCCACTTTCACCAATGAACATTTTCTTGCTGGCCTCAATTCTGCCTATAACATTTTCCATACCTCCCATGGCCCATTACAAAGCATCCACCCTCCTTTACAACAGATATCTTATCCTCTTGAACATTCTTCCATCGAATGTTCGCCTTTTTCCCCCGAGGAGAGTACATCTAGTTTTTCTCGCCAACAAAATTTTACAAATTTACATCTGGCAACTGTTGGAGAGCAACTTACAAGAATAGAAGGACAAGTTAGTCAACTGAAAGTTATAGGCACTACGCCAAAAGAAAGCTCGTCCAAAATAGCCGGTCATGACGACAAAGTTCTCTTTAAACCTATGGGAGCACCTTTTGAATTAAATCTCTCAAAAAATGATAATAGTGATTTAATAGACGAAATCACTAAGAGGTTAGCTAAGTTAGATGTTGAAAAGAAACAGAAGTCTATAGCTCCTCTTACAATAAAAACAAAATCAGATAAAGAGTCATCTGACGAAGAAAGTGTTAAAGAACCTGAGCACTTAATCAATTTAGAACAAATGCTTCAAAAGGAAGCTAATACCATCAATAAAATCTCTTATCCAAAACCAAGAGGAACGGTAGAAATCAAACCCTATTATCCAAGGCCATCTCCAGTGAATATGCAATATGAAGCAGATACATTTAATTATGTTCAGTATGATGGAACCTCTATAGTTGAATGGAATATTGACGGACTATCTGAATATCAGATAAAGAATGTCCTCCAATACATGACTATGTATGCCACTGCCTGAGACTTATACTGTGTAAATCACTCACCCAAATAAATTAGACATAGCATACCATCCCGAGGAATGATACAGTGTGGAACTATAAGATGAGTATGCCAAGACTACATAGCTGTTATGAAGAATGCATGATATTGTTGCATAAGGCAATTTACTTTGATCAATCCAATAGTTGGGGTCAAAGATGTGATCACAAATGTGAAATATTTAGGCCATATATACAGGTATAATGGGACGACCAGGCATTTGAGATCAGGGCGCAACCCCAAGTAAAGGTTTTGGTTGTATTTAAATCATAAGGATTTGGTCTTTAACACAGCTCATAATTCGAAATATAGACATAAAGGAGATAGATGTATGTATGTCAGGAAAAATTAAGAAAAAATAGTGGCCTCACAACGTTTATGAGA